CATTGTAGACCCAGCATTATTATAGGAATTGTACTATTTATTTATCTAAGGCTCGTTTTCTGCCTACAGGCGTAGTATCGCACTATCGCAGTGTTCACTCTATAGGTTTGTTCGCGTTGCTTGATATTCCCAAACATTTTTCACTTGAAATGAGATAAATATATATTTAGCCGTTGGAGAAAGAGAAAGCGAAGATGCTGAGTGCAAAAAGTGCAAACAACGCGAACAGACCCTATGTCTGTCTATTATAAGTGCGTTCGGGGAGATGCTATTAGCGCTGACAACGTCATTCTATCTCTGTTACTTACTGAAAGTTGAACAAGGACAGAGCGCGCTCATAGCGCTAAAAGCGCGCTCCCCGAACCCAGCCTATATCAGATGTGCAGCAATAGAAAACCAACCTATAAGTTCGGTCGTGCTTTTCTTATTAAAACACGTACAGAGTTAATAGTTGTATCTAAATGTCTACAGAATAAGGCTTCTGAGGAACTGATTATCTTGTCGAATATCGGATTGACGTGTTTTTGACGCCGGACGTGGTGAGAATCTTCCATTAGGCTAATATTTCATATGTCGTACGGTATATACAGTAGTCTCCGCACAAGATCGTCAGGTTATTAACACGTTTCGTTACGTTGTATAAGTTCCAACCAATATACTTTGATCCGTAACAATAAAAGCGTGTTACGTTTTACATCTTTCTTTGTGCATTGACCGAAATCCAAGTTTACGTACAAATATAAGTATATGGTCAGAACTTATCGTAACGTATGTACCGTGTTACAGATGTTCTTATGTGAAGGCTCTGATTTGCTACGACAAAACGTCATAAGAATCTGTAAATATTACTGCTTTAAACACGTGTTATTCTTTATCTATTGCTGTTGTAGTTGTAATTCTTACTCTTGTATTGTTTAATTTGCTAGTGTTTCAGAAAACTGCTGTTTCTGTTGTCCAGTTTGCTTCTGTCGTTTACTTTGCCTCTATCGTTTTTGCTATTGTTGTTTTGCCTACAAATATGTCATGCTATAATTTCCCGTAAGATTTTTAAATACTTTACAGTTATGCGAGTTTACTTATCTATTGTCACATCACTCTACACACAATGCTTTTTGTTTCAGAAAATCTGTCATTGAAGAATGTGCTGCTTTCAAAAATAATTGCTGCTTAGTTCCAAATTGCGGTTTTATTCACAAATATAAATACTGCTACAAATACCAGAATACTACATGCAGCGACAACAAATGTCCGTTCTTACATTGTACCAGCGTGGAACAACTTCGTTATGAAACAACTGGAAAAGAAACCGAGCAGCTGAAAAGGGAAGTTGGCCGAACGCTACAAAACTCAAGCATATGTGGCAAATTTAAAAATGGTGATTGCACACTACCAAAATGCAGGTTACGACATGTTAAATACGATGTAGCACCTTTAGAGTGTACAATATGCACAGAAATAATAAATGTCGAACATTTGGGTGCAGGAGATTGTGGGCATATTTTTTGCGCCAATTGTGCAATGCGCTGCTTAATAAATGATGAATATGAAAACTTTGTCGAAACAAGATGTCCAATATGTAGGAAATCAGTCCCGTACAAGAAATTATCGTAATATTTGTACCTTTAATATTTTGATTAATATTTCACTTTATTTCAAATAAAAATTATGTTTATTTTTGATTCAACGTTGTAATGTATTCCCTCTTTTACTTTTTCTTCCTGTCATGATTATTTTCTATTACTTTCAAAAAATGTCGTAGCAATTTCTCTAAAGTCTATTGTTTTGTAATTTTCGAATATTTGATCCTCTGGTTATACGTTTAACTTTATATTACAAAAATGAAACATTTATAAATATTGAATAATAAACAGAACTGCTTCTCACAGTACTTTAACGGAAATACAAAAAAGTCGGTACTGTTGGTGATACATTGATCTCTCTCAATTGCTATATATGCAAATATTAATCAGATTAAAACAATTGTTGAAGTACAATTAGAATTTAAGTATATACTACAAAAATTAAGAGAATATATATATTACACTTCATAATATATTGAACGAATATTTCCTACATTTGCTTTAATATTTATTATTTCAACTAGCTATACCTATAATTATTCCATAATGCCGTCTTATACTTTCTTACTCTTCTACACTTTAACTGTTGTATTTGGAAAATGTCTACTATATACTTTTTATCTGTTGAAAGAATAATAAACCATGACATTGATGTGACATGAACAGAAACAAAAAAATGCATTGCAAAAAAATAAATTGTACAAATTGAAATAACTAGAACTGTATGCAAAGAGAAATCAGATATCCTGACAGTTATTTCTTCAATACATTGTCCTTCTTTTGACACTAATTTTATGTAGAAAAATATATGTTTACTTATGTTAACAAAATAAACATTACATAAAAAAATATATTCGTATATCATAAAGTCTTGTAATTATTAAGTAACTGCAACCTTTCTTTTCTCTATATCCTCCATTGCTTAATCTGCTTAATCTGCAAACAATATGTTTCATCCTCATTATAAATATATGTTAATAAAATATGAATAATATATTTATTAATAAATTATATAATTAATTAATAATATTTCTATCTTTTTTAAGTATACTGAAGATAAAATATAACATTTTAAATATATTGTGAAGAAAAATGTACAATTTTGAAAGATTTAAATAAACTTAGTCAATGTATAACGTAAGTTAGAAATCTTTTTTCTACAATGTATTTACACATTACAACATTCTGCAAGCAGTATTGACCAAGTTTTTTTTTCAATTTTTAAGAATATTGCAAAAACATTACAAAAATTATGTTCTTAACAATACGTGTTTCTCAAAACTTACACAGTATAAAAATCGTCGCCCACTTAGAGCATACTTTACAGCACCACAAGGGAAGTGGACCTTTTACTGTAAATGGAAGCCGGTCATAGCAATATTTATATGGTATACATGGCAACACCTCAAGGCCTTCATGTTGTCTTTTGTCAATAAGATATAGCAATTATTGCATGCTGGTGTAGTTGTTGAAAGCAGAAAATATTCTCAATTAAATTATTTTAATAATTGAAATATTTAATTAGAAATGTCCTTATAAAAATTTAATACTGTAAGTGATTTTTTGGCTAGCAATTAATCACTTAAAAGCATTATTAAAAGTACTGTTAATAGTGCTTTTAAATGATTAATCACTAGCCAAAAAATCACTTGCTCTCATTGGCTCTGACAGTTTTCCGTTCTCTCATTGGTTGACTGAACGCGCTTCTATGACTTATGACTTACGACTATGACATAACGATACAACTCATTGTAGACCAGCCTTTAACGGTATCGCGAAAAAGCCGGTGGGATTAGGTTAGGCTTCTTTCTATTTCTTATCTTCTATTTGAACATGTGCTAAACTAAAGCCCTTTGCACAATGCCAGGCAACAGGCAATAGAAACAGGAAATAACCAAAAAATCGTTAATTACAACCTAAAAGATTCGAATGCTATGATTGGTTGGCAACAGGCAATAGACACAGAATTTCCAACGTGACGGAAACTCTGTGTCTATTGCCTGTGTCACTGTTTATTCTGCATTTATACATGATTTCTGATTTCTATTCCCTGTTCCTATTGCCTGTTGCCTGGCATTGTGCAAGGGGCTTAAGTGTCGTTAAATTTGCTATTGTCGTTTCACTTGCCAATTGTTGTTCTTTGCTCTATGTTGTTATTATACTGTATTGTTGTTTACTCTGCTCTGTGTTGTTATTATACCGTAAATGACTTGCCGAGACTTTATGCTGCGTGTGTGCAGCAGAACATCATGTAAAATGCTTCACGAAGTGAAAAATTGCACTAATGCATCTTGCAATAAAAGCAATACTTGTAAAAAGGTGCATCTCACAGACGATGAAGTAACTGAAATTAATAAAAATATACGACCTTTTCGGCAAAATGTTTACTTAGAGATGACACGTTTAGCGTACATGTTAAGAGAAACTTTTCCAAAAGAATGCAGATCACAAGTCTGTACGCTCAATATGTTGGGAGAATGCCTATGGCCATGTTTGGCTTGTGGGACATGTAGGAGGAATAGTAAGTTTTTCTATAATTATTACACTTTTATAGAAATTTAATACTGTAAGTGATTTTTTGGCTAGTGATTAATAATTTAAAAGCACTATTAACAGTACTTTTAATAGTGCTTTTAAGTGATTAATTACTAGCCAAAAAATCACTTACAGCATTAAATTTTTATAAGGACATTTTTAATTAAATATTTCAGTTATTAAGATAATGTAATTGAGAATATTTTCTGCTTTCAGCAACTATAACAGCATGTAACAATTGCTACATCTCATTGACAAAAGACAACATGAAGGCCCTGAGGTGTTGCCATATATACTGTGATTATTGCTTTGACCGGCTTCCATTTACAGTAAAAGGTCCACTTCCCTTGTGGTGCTGTGAAGTATGCTCTAAGTGGGCGATAATTTTTATACTGTGTAAGTTCTGAGAAACACGTATTGTTAAGAACACAATTTTTGTAATATTTTTGCAATATTCTTGAAAATTTAAAAAAAACTTGGTCAATGCTGCTTGCAGAATGTGGTAATGTGTAAATACATTGTAGAAAAAAGATTTCTAACTTGAACTTACGTTATGCATTGACTAAGTTTATTTAAATCTTTCAAAATTGCAGATTTATCTTCACAATATATTTAAAATGTTATATTTTATGTTTAGTATACTTACAAAAAATTGAAATATTATTAATTAATTATATAATTTATTAATAAATATATTATTCATATTTTATTAACATATATTTATAATGAGGATGAAACATATTGTTTGCAGATTAAGCAGATTAAGCAATGGAGGATATAGAGGAAAGAAAGGTTGCAGTTACTTAATAATTACAAGACTTTATGATATACGAATATATTTTTTTATGTAATGTTTATTTTGTTAACATAAGTAAACATATATTTT